AGCCCAGAACAGTTCATAAATGCATGAATCTCAGTTTATACTTCATTTCTAATAGCTAAATATTTTAAGTATTATTTATGATTTGATCATTGAAAACGTAAGAATATTTTGACCAAACTTTTGTTCCTACAGTAGGATAACCAAACTGGTTCTATTCTTAGACAGTTTTATCTGTTCACAGTCTGATAGCTGCTGAACAAAACATGTTTTCCACATGACTATAGAAATATGTGATTTGGTCTGGGCATGGTGGTTCACTCCTATAAGCCTAGCACTTTGGGAGGCTAAGGTAGAAGGATCACTTGAGGCCTGGGCAACATAGCAAACCCCATCTCTACATAAAATAAATACTAGCTAGGTATGGTAGCACATGCCTATAGTCCTATATTTATACCTTAGTAGATCCTTTATTACTATTTTCACAAGGTGAATATACCCATGTAACCATCACCTAGTTGAAGAAACAGGTTATCATGAGCCTTACAAGCCCTTTTTGTGTCCCTTTGCAGGTCACTAGCCACCCAAAGAATAACCACATATACTATATATATGTGTGTGTGTGTACACACACACACACACACACACACACACACATATATGTATGAATTTGAAAAGCATGTGCCAATGCTTTGCACAAAAATATAATATTAAGGTATAAATTACCTTAGACCTATGTACTCTAGAGGCTGAGGCAAAAAGATCCCTTGCCAGGAGTTCTGAAAGTGAGTAAGCTATGATGATGCTTCTGTACTCTATCCTTGACAACAGAGCAAAAAACTGTCACAAATGTATATATATACACACACACATACATACATACATATATATATGATTTATTTAAAAAATAAGCATCATCATTTCATTAATTTGTTGACTGTTTTCTCTGGTACTGGCATTTCTGGTTTTTAACTAGAAAACACTAGTCTGTTCGCACCCAACTAAGGTTCATTTCCACCTTTTGAAAGACAAACAGCAAATATATAAAAAGATGATGTAGTGGGAGGTTTTGGTTGTTGGGATGAAAAGTGGCATTTGGTCAAGCTTACAAACTCACCTGTTTGTTAGCTCTGTAAATCTTACTCCACATTTCATGAGTTTTCCTTTTCTGAGATGCAAACAAATAACCTACACAAAAAGCAGCCCTGAAGTCCCCCAAGGCCTATGTCCAACAAGGTTCTTATTAATCATTTTTAGTCTACATCCTAGACAACAGTGGCATTTATGGTAGAAAATATCCAGCTCTGCACACCAAGGCTTGCTGTTTACAGGTGTCTGCTCTTTCCATGTATTATAAATGGAAGGGCATTAGGCCATTCTTGAAAATATACTTTCAGCTCTGTATTGTTACTTTCTTGAAAATATACTTTCAGCTCTATAGTGTTACTTTCTAAAGAAGTCTCCATATAGAATTTAACATTGACAAAATAAGGCCAGACTGTGCCTTAAATAGCTCTAACCTTGGTATAGTTTTATGGCATGTTCCACATTTAATGTATCTAAGCAGGAATGAACTCTGTGGTTACACAGGTCTCCCTGCCAAATTGGGGTTACCTACAGCAAATATGCCAAAGTTCCATCAAATTACTTTGAGAAGTACCTGGTTTTAGTCATTTTTGTTATCCCCTAAGGAAAATCATACTTTCTTTAGAGTAGGAAAAGTTTCTGTTGATTTCTGAATCTTCTTATAAGATTCAGCTTCAACTCACTCTCTCTACAGCTACTGCTCTAGTCCAGGAGATTATTACCTCTTGCATGGACTGTTTGTCTCTTACTTGGCTTCTTCATTTCCATCTAGGTCATGTTCTATTATCCACATATCCATGATCCTTTTAAAAGGTGTCAGATTGTATAACTCTCTTGCTTTTGAGTGAATATCCATGGGCGTCACTCTCTCTCTCCTCTCTGTTCATTTTCCATGCTTCTCTAGCAGAATAGCTTGAGGTTCTTACATGGTGACTCAAGGCTTTAAGGTGTAAGCAGCCACTACTTGGGCTTAGAAGTCCCAGAATGTGACTTTCTATATCTCCATATTTATTCTATTTCCTCTACACCAAGTCCTCTTGGTCCTGCTAAGCTAGGACCTTTGCTCTTAAAATTCCCATTGCCTGGACCATTTTTCCCTCGTGTAACAAAATGTCTAGTTCCCACATTTTTTTCACATCTTAGATCACATATCACCTCTTTCTGCAGATGATCTCTGATCATTTGGACTTAAGGAACTATATTAGGTTTTTTTAATTGCTCTATAACAAATCACCACAAACTTAGTAACAAGAATTCAGTTCCTGGGGTGGCATCTGTGACTCAAAGGAGTAAGACGCTGGCCCCATATGCTGGAGGTGGCAGGTTCAAACCCAGCCCTGGCCAAAAACTGCAAAAAAAAAAAAAAAAAAAAAAAAGAATTCAGTTCCTTGTGTCATAGGACTGAGGTCTCCATTTTTCCTTACTTGCTGTCAGCCAAGGGCTATTCTCAGCAGCTACAGGCTGACCACATTCCTTGCCATCTGGCCTCCTTCCTCTTCTACAGCCAATTAGAGAAAATTCTCTGGTTTTTAAAAACGTTGGTACATCTAAGGCTTAAATGCCATTGCATTTGTTTACTGACTCCCATAAAACGTAACTAATTGTAAGACACTTCCTGAATATATTCTGCACAGAAATAAAAAGATAAATAGAAATGACTGACAAGACAGAGCCATTTCATAGTTTCCTTTAATTAATACTTGTCAGAAAATGAAGTTTGATATTATTTTTAATTAAGCCAGCATTCACAGAGGCAAACAATGACCACAAGACTTTTTTTTTCACATTTCCTAAATAGTTTCTACATTTTAGCTATGAAAGTCAGTTAGCAGAGCCAAATATGTTCTTAAGAGGTAGGATTTTTATGTTTATTCGATCAAAGTCTCTTATACCTTTCTGAGTCTATTCATTTCCAGATAGGAGTAGAAACTGTAACCAGGTATTTCATACCATGCATTAACATGTGATGCCCAGTCTTCAAATGCTGAATAATTTCTTTAAGATAAAAGGAGTGACTTGCAGCCGGGCCATGTAGATGAAGAAGTTTCATGTAGAGGAAATCACATCCTTGTGCATCTTACAGTTAATCTCCTCTGGATCCAGCTTCAGCAGGAGCCTCTCTGCTTTTAAAGTCCTCCTGTGATGGCTCAGCTCCCATAGCTCAGTGGTTAAGGTGCTGGCCACATACACGGGGCTGGCTGGTTTGAACCCCGCCTGGGCCTGCTAAACAACAGTGATAACTACCAAAAAAAAAAAAAAATAGTTGGACATTGTGGCAGGCACCTATAGTCCTAGCTACTTGGGAGGCTGAGGCAAGAGAATGGTTTAAGCCCAAGAGTTTGAGGTTGCTGTGAGCTGTGATGCCACAGCACTCTACCAAGGGTGACTATGTCAGACTCTGTCTCAAAAAAAAAAAAAAAAAAAGGCCTCCAATGATTAGGTCAGACTCACCTGAATATCATCAGACTCCCTATTTTATGTCAGCTGATTTGGGTCCTTATTTTAATCACAGCAATACATATATTACTGTTTATTTGAATAACTGAGAGAAGGTATGTGTACACCAGGAACCAAGGGTCTTGGGGCATTATCTGACAGCTTTGCCTGCTACAATAGCATATACTTTTTTCTTGTTCCTTTATCCTGCTTTATTTTTCCTTATAGCATTATCTATATTATGTTTTCTACTTGCATTTGTTTATAATGTGCCTCCCACACTAGAATATGTATTATTGATGATAAAGACTGTCATTTTGTGCATTATTGTATTCCTAGCAACAGTGTTAGTGTTTGCCACATTGTAGATGCTCAGCAAACACTTTATTAAATGTCAATTAATTTAACAAAAGACTGTGTGGGAAATAATTTGGGGTGGATTGAGTGTAGAAGCATTATTTAAACTTTATGTCCAAAGGTACCAAAGAGTCTCAGAATATTCATTGGCCTTTCTTTGCATGAAAGACTTCTTATTTGACTGTTAAAAAATAAGTTTTATGGGGCACTCATAGCTCCACCAGCCACATGCTCCAGGGCTGGTGGGTTTGATTCTGGCCCAAGCCTGCTAAACAAAACAAAACAAACAAACAAAAAAAAATAGCTGGGGGTTGTGGCAGGCGCCTGTAGTCTCAACCACTAGAGAGGTTGAGGCAAGAGAATCACTTGAGCCCGAGAGTTTGAGGTTGCTGTGGGCTATGATGCCACAGCATTCTACTGAGGGTGACAAAGTGAGACTCTGTCTCAATTAAAAAAAAAAAAAAAGTTTTGAGCAGGGAATTGTGTAAATGTCCAGTAATTGGTATATTCAAGAGAAAACAAATTAGTTTTGTTGCTTATTAGCAATAATAGTGTGCTTTCAACTTTCTTTTTTTTTTTTTTTTTTTTTTTAGACAGAGCCTCAAGCTGTCCCCCTGGGCAGAGTGCCATGGCATTACAGCTCACAGCAACCTCCAACTCCTGGGCTCAAGCGAGTCTCCTGTCTCAGCCTCCCAAGTAGCTGGGACCACAGGCGCCCGCCACAACGCCCGGCTATTTTTTGGTTGCAGCCATCATCGTTGTTTGGCGGGTCCGGGCTGGGGATTCGAACCCGACAGCTTAGGTGTACGTGGCTGGCGCCTTAGCCGGTTGAGCTATAGGCGCCGAGCCGCTTTCAACTTTCAGTTATCATTTGTGTATCTCCAAATAATAAGAATGTCTTCTTGTGAGCTTTTGGAAATAGTTACCAGATCTTCCTGCAATATACCTGATTACTTACTGTGGTATTTCTGTAGCTTTCCATGTGATTGCTATTCACAAATGTCCAAATACGATAGAATTACAAACTGGGTTCATTCATATAGATATAACATAGAATGCCATAGTTTTTTATATATAACTACGGTGTGTATATATACATATATATATATAAAACAGTTTTAAAATACTTTCTGATTTTTAGTACTAATTGTAACATGTTTCTTTTTAATCCCCCCCTTCTACAGACAAAACTTGCCAATGGCACTTCCAGTATGATTGTGCCCAAGCAACGGAAACTGTCTGCAAGCTATGAGAAGGAAAAGGAACTGTGTGTCAAATATTTTGAGCAGTGGTCAGAGTCTGATCAAGTGGAATTTGTGGAACATCTTATATCCCAAATGTGTCATTACCAACATGGGCACATAAACTCCTATCTTAAACCTATGTTGCAGAGGGATTTCATAACTGCTCTGCCAGGTATGTCTACAGGTGTTTATAAACCATTAATTTGATACAATGGTGAGGGAACTGGATCTCCAGCTATTCATCTCTTTTAAAAAACTTTATGGCTTGACATTATAAATTTAGCCCTTTAATTATACCTTCTTAATATAAATACAAAAAAAAATCAAACTCTAGAAATAAAGATTCCTCTTTTACCTATCTTCTCCTTATCACATGTCCTACTATTCACACACCCCCTCCCTTTGAGACAGGGTCTCACTTTGTTGCTCCAGGTAAAGTGCAGCGGCACAAATCATAGCTCATTGCAGCCTCCAGTTCCTGAAGGAGGCTAAAATGATCCTTCCTTAGCCTCCAGAGTAGCTGGGACTATAGCCACATGTCACCACACCTGGCTAATTTTTTCTATTTTTTGTGGAGATGGGATATCACTATTTCTCAGGCTAATCTCAAAATCCCCGGCCCAAGTTATCTTCCCTCCTCACCTCTCAAAGTGCTAGGATTATAGGTGTGAGCCACTGTGCCTGCCCAAGAAAGATTTTTAGCTAGGTGTTTTTTTAAAAAGAAAGGAACCTTGTGGTATTTTATAAATAAATACATAGATTAAAATAAAATCATACTTAAAATACTTTTTTCTTGGAGGATGCTGTGGTTTTCTGAATGCTTAATGATAATCTGGGACACTACAGAGTTATCTGTATTTGGGAGAAATGCTACCTCAGGAAAATACAAGGTTCTCATGTATTGGAAGTTTATTTTAAAAGAAAAAATGGTACAAAAAAGGAGTGACTCTTATCTAAGATATCATATCTTTTGGGGGGGGATTCTGATTGTGGGAAACATACAAATTTTCTTTTATGGAAGTTATAGGAAATCTAGAAAATATAAAACATGGCTCGGCGCCTGTGGCTCAAGTGGCTAAGGCGCCAGCCACATACACCTAAGGTGGCGGGTT